TTGGGGTCACGACTGAATAGGTTAGCCTTAACAATACCATGGTTACATGAAAATGGAAGAGACTAGGAACTGTGAAACGGGGCACTCATTTCATGATCAGTTCCTTCACCATAATGTTCACCAGTCACGTAGATGGGTAAAATCATCAAAATCATTCAAAAAGTTCAACACCATCAATGACAGAACAATATGTGTGATTAGTATCTCTCCCATTGAACGCAAAACTTTTCTTGTTCCATCATTGGTGATTGCACTATGTTTGATTTACAGGATATATTGTTCCTACTCACCAAGATTGTTTTACAGTGCACTTCCCTTCCCGCTTATTGAGAAGGACAAGTGTGTCAGAGGCACAGAAAAAAAGGTTATCTTCCCCAAGTTCCTTCTCAAAGTATACGCCTCCCCCATTTCTGGCCTCTGTCCTCAGCCACCCAAATTATCCTAATGAAACTCAATTGACGTTCAAGAGATAGTGTTAATCTTTTGATTAGTCACTTTATGACATTTTGGATTTAATACTGTTCAATATATACAAATCATAAGCATTTCTGTTTTTCTTTTCTTGATAATATCTATTAGTAAAGATTCTGGAATGACTACTTATTGCTCCTCTGGACCAATCTCTCATGTTCCATTATTAACCCCACTTTTTCCTTGCCTTATCTAGACTTTTGTCATCATACATCTCTTCTGCTTCCTCTCGATCACAAACCTACAGACTTTCCCTTTTGTTCTTTCTTCTTCTCCCCAGTCTCTCTACTTGCTCAAAGCCTGCTCCACAATCAACTTCATTCAACTCAGAATCTTTTCACATTTCTTTTTCTATCAGCTTCCTGCACACTGGTACCTTAATTGATGGAGTAAGGTTTTATCAGAGGGAAGCTTGTAACATGGTCATATGCAGGATAAAGCAAATAGATCTCATAGGGAGAGAGGAAATCCCAATTGGGGTATTGGTATAACCCATTATAGGAATGATCCTGATCACAGGAAGTTTCCAATTCTGTGGGTGAGAGAAAGTGCCCATTGGTGACAAGCAGGAACAGACAGTTGCTGAGAGGACAAGATGGTGGTTGGCAGGTAGAGTGCAGTTGAAGTTTTGGTAGAGTAATCATAGAGTGGTTGGAGGTGGAGTGCGTGTTGGTGATGGTGCATAAGGAGTGGATATGGAGGTTGTGGTGAGTATATGGTGGTCAGTGAGATTTGCTGGATACACGTTGGAGGTGGGGTCCCATAATGCTTGCAGCATAAAATGCAAGTCATGGAGGAATCAGATGGTGGTTGGGAGATTTCAATCACTGCTAGAAGTGGGAGAAAAGAGAAACAAACAGATTATAATTAAGATGAGGGTGTTCATTTACTCTGCTGATCTGGAAAATTATTACTTTTCCTCTTGGCTGTAAGCAGTGCCAGACTTATATAGATGAAACTTTTTTTGATCATACATGCTTCTGGATTTTCTGAGGACTGAAGAAGCCAGCCAATAGGAGTGATAAATAGAATGGCTGTGTAAATAATGGCACATAGACTAACTAAAACTTGGAAATAGCCAATACAGGTTATGAAAGGATTACTTTGTCCATTAAAATGCAACTCTTATTTTAACATATAATCACAGTTTTCTTCAAAATTGTTGACTTTTAATTTTCAAATTCCATTTCTAAAATGATTATGGGAGCCCTTTGGCTTTGCGGGTTTTGAGGAGATAATTCAACATCACCGCATTCTCGGAGCAACAAAAATGAACAAACTTGACAGCATTGTCCATATTCTATTTTTTTTAAAGAAAGGATTTGTCCACATCTAAAACAGAATCATAGCTTAATGTTTGAATGGCTGCCTTATTTATTTGTAACACATTATCAAAATAGAAATTGGCCGGACTATGGAAAGAAATAGTTTTGCTGTTTTGCATTTACATGCTTGAAGATTAGGTAAACACTGAGGCTAAGAATGGATTTTGGTCTGAAATCTGAGCTGATCCAATTTTGTGTGGCTCAAACAAGCCTTGAAAATAAAGAAATTTCTTTATTATTATTATTTTAAAATTTCTGGTGGGTTGCTACATTGGTTTTTCCATACAAAAACCTATTCAAAAAAGTGAAAAAATGATAGTAGATGGCAAAATGGATCAATGATATATCAAATCATATTACTAATGAGTTTCCTGTACTGTTGCTTGCAATACCATAGTTGGGACCGATATATGATGTTTTATGATTACTGAGCGGAAAAAAAATAGTGAGCTCTGGTCCATGACTGGTCTGAGCAATATCAAATAACAGGAAAAATAATTCCACACACAAATGATGGGAGCAGAGAAAATGAAAAGACACAAGTAGAAAGCTCTAAACTAGTCCAATCGTTCTCAAACAATGATAGGTACTTTGAGAAAATGAATCTTAAGAAATCTTCTGAATCCCAATATTAACTTAAAGGTTTCAATTTGCTCTAAGGCATGAACTAAATTATAAAGTAAAATACATTTTATAATTTGAAAATATCAAGATTGGTGCACTTACAATTCCAAGGGCAGCTGGAGGCTCAGAAGTCTGAGTGAGCAGAGACATTCAGTATAAGGTAATGTGATCAATTGATACATAAATGTAATAAGCAAACAAATTTTTGTTCCACTATATCTTATGAATTTCTGGAGGTGTCTGTAGATTGAAATTCTCTTGGAAAGCAATAGCTGTTACACAGTAAAAATGATCGTTTCACAACATTAAAATCCCACAAGCAGCAGTTGTGAATGATCAATTAATCCATTTATAGTCATGCTGGTTGAGAGGTGAATATTGGTCAAGACAATGGGCAAACTCCCTGTTCTTTGAAAAATTTTAATTTTATAGGGCCAAAATCTTCATTGAAAAATGATGACACGTTAATAGCAGTTGTTATTATTAATAAACAAATCAGTCAGCATGTTCAGGGGCTTTCAGAGATGTGTAGTGAAAGGACAAAATTTGTTGGTCCACATATGGCACTCCATGATTTACTTGATACAAAAGGCATCTTGCCATTAGGCTACCTATTATTAATAAAAAAAATTGCTGGATTTTCACACTAATTGCTCATTAAACTGGATATGGAAAGTTAGAGCTCAGAATTAGCTATTCTTTACAATGAGAACATGTTAATATGATGACATTGGGCCAAAAAAATATACTGATAAGTCTCAGAAAACAAATTGCTTTGTGATTTTTATAAATGTTCAAATTTACATTTTTTGTTACTTTTCCTTCTGTCTCCATTTTGTATTTTCCTTTATCCAGTCTTTCATTTTATTACCACCTCTGTACCTAATTTACCTTATATAGCTTATTCTCCTTCTCTGATATTCTTTTGTGTCTTTCTCGATTGTTAAAACTCATTAGATTCAGAGATTCAATGTTGATTTCACTGTGCACCAAGATCTCAGGTGGATTGACAGGCTGTTACTGGTTTGCAATTCTAGAAAGTTACAGTGCAAAGTTTTTCAAGTTGAGGAAAGAGAAACCACAAGATGTTCTGCTCAAACAAAGTTTGGACAATGTTTTATAAACCCAGCTCTGGTCCTTTGGCTTTACCCTTTCTCAACCTCCGATTCTCCCAGCTTCAGAATTCTTGAATTTCTTTTTGCCTCTCAGATCAGCACATAGCACACCTACAGCTCCCTGTTTGACTCCCTCCAATCAAGTTCCATCCACCTTGTAGCACCCATATGGATCTAACCATATTCATGAACAGCACAGTCTATGTGCAGGGTGTGTTGTCATTTTTCGTTCTCTCTCATCTTTGAGATGATAGACCATAGCACCCTTCTTCAGTGCCTCTTCAACTGAGGGAGAATATAGCTTGGATCCATTCCAAGTCATCTGGCTGTGTTCACAGTACCTCTGGTGATGGCAATACCTTTTATTCTAGTACCATGATCTATTTTTAGCCCTACTAAAAAGATGAGTTGACAATCTGATGAAGCTACAACAAAAGACCACATGCAGTTCAATAGAACTTTGTATAAGCCTTTCAGATGTTGTTCTAGTGAGCTAATGAGACCACCCTTTGGTTCATGAAGGGTAGATTGAGGTTCGGTTTCATCTTTCATGTCTCACTAATGTGTTTAAGTTTCTGAATAATATCGACTGAGACTGAATATATTTGAAAAACAGACTTATATAATTTTTAGATATTGAAGACATCAATGAGTGTGGAAAGAAAGCAGGAGTCTGGCATTGAGATCGAGGATCAGCTATGACCACAATGAATGATGGAGCAGGATCAGTGGACACAATAGCCTACATCTGCTCCTACTTTCAATGTGTGATAAACTATAGAAGCAGAAAGCGATGGACAAATTTAAGAGGCTTAACATTCTACAGATCATGTCAAATCCCTGCAGTCCTATCACATTCAGCTACAAATAAACAAGTAACCAGAGCTTGAGGGCCCAGAAAAATCATCACCCTCAATGATTGGGAGCCAATACATCAATAAGAAACAAACTTGAAGTTGTTGCTACCATCTTCAGCTGGAAGTACCAAGTAGATGATTCATCTTAGCTACCTCCTTATGTCCCCAGCACAAAGATGTCACCTATCATCCAATTTAATTCTCCTCTTCAAGCGTTAACAACAAATAGCTGAAGCAATGGATATAACCATCTAAGTCAAACACTATACTTACTGGCTTGAAACTATATTGTCATTCCTTCAATGTTGCTGGCTCAACATCCTTGAACTTCCTCCCGAACGACACTGGGTGAACCTATACTAAGTGGTCTGCTTTCGTTCAAGAGGTGGCTAACATCCAACATGCAACCAGGGATGCTCAATAATGGTGGCCTTAATCAGTGATGTTTATATCCCCTATATTCATTTGAAAAAAGTTCTCCTCCAAACTCCTTTGTTGCCATATAAAAAATGTGTTTTTCTTATGCCTCAGTGATCTGAGATATTTTTCCACATTAATTATTGTTGCATCAGTGACAGCAGTCTAATTGTTCTACTCTCTTTCTCCAGTTTACTGTTTGTCAACAAAGTACATGGGGGTAGAGCTGATTGTGTGTTTGATGATATCGACATGGTTATCTGGATTTCTGTGGTAATGAAACCTCCAGCAGCAAGTAGCAATGGTGAAGGAGGACACCAAGCAAGCAAGCTTGAGCAGTTGTTCTGGAACCTCCAGCATTGGCAGTGATGATGAATAAAACAGCTGGGCTGTTGAATGGAAAGAAAATGGTGAAGGAAGAAGAAATTGTGAGAAGGAGAATCAGTCATATAAAAAAAACTTGTCAACTCAGTGTAAACCACAGGCTTCATTCCATGTAAATATTGTAAATATATCATTGTTTAAACTTAATTTCATTCATGTTTGTAATGACTTGATACCAGTGGAATAAAGAATCTTGCCTTATGATCTTTGGGCTGCCCATGTGTCCAAATCTTATGTTTTACTATTATAAAGAAATGGCCAACATAATCTGAAGGGACATTTACCTTATTGTTGTGAAGCTGGTTTGTGATTACCAACATCATATCATGACGTCAAAACTTTTTCCCCCACTCACACTCTTACACACACACACACACACAAAACACTTATGTTTTACTGTTTATTAGAAGGAAAAATTAATTTGGCAGGCTGGTCCTTCAGAGATCAAAATTACTCTCTTCAGCCTCAGCTACTGATTGGCAAATAGCATGGAGAGACCAAAAGCACTTATACAATGAATCTTGAGGTTATGCTCCAGATCTGAAATATATTACAGGACAGACCAGAAAAGACGTACACTTCACGTCTCAGCGGCCGAGTCTTAGAGGAGGAATTCAAATTGCAATCAATGAAAGCAGTCACTGACCATGAAAGTGTAGCTCTCAAGACACAAATATAGTTAAGATATTATGGTTGGCAAAATCTTATAACAGGAACGTTTAGGTCAATCCCAGAGATACTTTTAACATTCTCCCTTACACGCACACGCACACACAGACACACACACACGCTGTCCTTTGCACATCCTCATCCTCAACCACCAACAACGCTAATTTCAGCCAAATTATCAAGGAAAGCAATTATTTTCTCCAAATGATGCGAGAATAACATAGCTTTTGCAACTTTCCTCTGTTTTTGCAGCTTTCCTAACAAAGTTACAGCAATTAGAGGAGGATGCCTATGAAAATTCACCTACCTATCTTCAGGCTTCTACTTTAGTGCTGGTGTACTGCTGTCAGGTCTCTGAGGCATTAGTTTCTTGATTCAGTGGAGGTTAATTGGGAAGGCAAGGTAATTCCAGTGCATTGTAATGTTGATGTAAATACATGCAGAAAGGCTTCTTCCTCCTGTCTTTCGGGGAGGGGAGAACCAAATTTCTGAAGTTTATCTTGAGAGTGAGAATCTGAATTTTGGCCTCTTGCCCGACTTAGTTCACCTGCCCACCATGGGGAGAGTGGAAACCCCACCCCCCTCTTGCCTTCTTATTGGACGAAATCACAGCAGCCAATTTCCACCCAGTGCAATCCCCCAAATAAGAATGAGATAAATTACCAGTTTGTCTCCTTTTTCTGATATTAATTGATGGAAAAATGTTGGTTAGAAGTGCAGTAGAAGTATTTTTACCTCTGGGCCAGAAAGTCTGGTTTGAAGCCCCACCTGTTCCAAAGATGTGTCATAACGTGTCTGATCATTTTTGATTAAAAAGCATTGAAGTGTTGGTCAGACTGTTTATCTTTTTAACAGAAATATAGCACCTCTGATAGTGCAGTCCTCACACACTTGTGTCAGACTCAATTATGTTTTCAAATGTTAGCAGTGTGGCTTGAACATAACTTCCAATCTCAGAGGCTGTCATTGTGACTTAGAAGAGAAACATATGTTAAAATGCTACTCTGAAGAAACAGCTAAAATAATCTTTGCAGTGCTACATTGTGTGTGAGATGTTATTGAAAGTGAGTGTGTGTCCAAATGCCAGCAGCTAAGTTGGGAGACAAAGCATAAAAAAATAAGAGAAGCCAAAGCACCCTGAATGTAAAGGACACCTACAGTTTTACTTTCTGCTATTCCTTTAATATTCTCCTGTCTGATTACATCCATGGTTTTATCCTTAAATGGCATCAAGGGTTTATAGTATTGGGATCGCTTCCAACTTCTATCCATCTCCATCTATCATATATAGCACAGTGTGGACTGGAGGAACACAGCAGGCCAGGCAGCATCAGAGGAGCAGGAAGGCTGACATTTCAGGTCGGACCCTTCTTCAGAAATGGGGGACAGGAAGGGGGCTCTAAAATAAATAGAGAGAGGAGGGGTGGGGCTGGGGAAGGTAGGTGGGATGGTGAGTACAAGTAGGCATTGGTGGGGATTGGTCAGTGAGCTGGGAGGAGCGGATAAGTGGGAGAGAAGACGGACAGGTCAAGGAGGCAGGGATGAGAGGGAGGGTTAGTCATGGGATGAGGCCGTGGGTGGGGAGATTTTGAAACTAGTAAAATCCACATTGAGACCATCGGGCTGTAGGCTCCCAAGGCGGAATATGAGGTGCTGCTCCTTCTGTTTCTGGGTGGCATTGTTGTGACACTGGAGGATGCCCAGGATAGACATGTTGTCCAGGGAGTGGGAGAGGGAGTTGAAGTGGTTCGCGACTGGGAGGTGTTGGCGTTTGTCGCAAAGCGAGCGCAGGTGCTCCTCAAAGCTGTTTCCAAGCCTTCACTTGGTCTCACCGATATAGAGGAGGCCACATCAGGAGCAGCGGATGCAATAGACCACATTAGCGGATGTTCAGGTGAACATCTGTCTGATGTGGAAGGTTTTGTTTGGTTCCTTGGAAGGATGTGAGGGGAGAGGTGTAGGGGCAGGTGTAGCACTTCCTGCGGTTGCAGGGAAAGGTGCCAGGGATGGTGAGGCTAGTGGGGAGTGTGGAGCGGACGAGGGAGTCATGGAGAGAGCGGTCCCTATGGAAGGCAGAGGGGAGTGGAGGGAAATATATCCTTGGTTGTGGGGTCAGATTGCAGGTGGCAGAAGTGGTGGAGAATGATACATTGAATCTGGAGGTTAGTGGGGTGATACACGAGGACGAGGGGGATTCTGTCTTTGTTTCTGTTGTGGGGAGGGGTTGTGAGGGCAGAGGTGCGGGAAACGCAAGAGATATGGTCGAGAGCATTTTCGACCACTGAAGGGAGAACTTGCGCTCCTTGAAATACGAGGACATCTGGGATGTTTGGGAGTGAACACTTCATTTTGGGCGCGGAGGCGGAGGAATTGGGAGTAGGGGATCGCATTCTTGCAGGAAGGTGGGTGAGAGGAGGTGTAGTCGAGGAGGTGTAGACAGATGTTCACCTGCACATCCGCTAATGTGGTCCACTGCATCTGCTGCTCCCAAAGTGGCCTCCTCTACATTGGCGAGACCAAGCAGAGGCTCGGAGACTGCTTTGAGGAGCACCTGCGCTCGGTTCGCGACAAACGACAACACCTTCCCGTTGCGAACCACTTCAACTCCCCCTCCGATTCCCTGGACGATATGTCCATCCTGGGCCTCCTCCAGTGTCACAATGAAGCCACCCAGAAACTGAAGGAGCAGCAACTCATATTCTGCCTCGGGAGCCTACAGCCCAATGGTCTCAATGTGGACTTTACTAGTTTCAAAATCTCCCCACCCCTGGTCTCATCCCATGTCCAACCCTCCCTCTCATCCCCACCTCCTTGACCTGACACAACCTCTCCCACCTATCTGCTCCACCCATCCCACTGACCAATCTCCACCACTGCCTACCCTGCACTCACATATCACCATCCCACCTAACTTCCCCTCCTCTCTCTATTTATTTCAGAGCTCCCTTCCCCAACCCCATTTCTGAAGAAGGATCCTGACCTGAAATGTCGGCTTTCCTGCTCCTCTGATGCTGCCTGGCCTGCTGTGTTCCTTCAGTTCCACACTGTGTTATCTCTGACTCCAGCATTGGCAGTTCTTACTATCTCCATCTATCATATACTGTTTTCTCCTACCAACAGCTATGCAGTTGTATAACATCATTCTTATTTCAGATTTCCATCAGGCACTGGAGTTTTAGTGTTTCAGAGACAGCTGGACTCGGCTACAGGATTTCCGTCAACTTGGCTAGAATATCAATAACTTATTATAGCCGGAAGTTAATCTAATCTGATGAAGCATACTCTCTGACAAAGTGAACCAAGCTGGAGTTGAATGTCACCGCTCATTGTGGATCCTGGAATGGGATGGGTTTTCTGAGGAGTAGCTGTCACACGGAGATTGCAACTCTGCTCCTTTTAGATGTTAAGAGTTCTGCATTTCTGACTAAAGATTCTGATCAGGCATCTTTCAGAAATACAGAGCTGTGCTTTAAATCTGAGAGTTCTCTTGTAATGAGGGCGGTCAAGATGAAAGAATACCACCCACAGCCACCCTTTTATCATGGCAGTCTGTTGCCTGATTTAAAGATCCAGCATCACAGACATCCACTTTGACAGCTCCTGTGGAAGGGTAATTATGGACGGTATGTGTGAGGTTAGGGTGCCAGGTGGATAAGGTGACAAGGGGCATGATGACAAGGTGCCAGATAAGCAAGAGTGCACTTAAGGTAAATTAGGTTGGGTGGGAGATATTGGTGGGTGTAGTGTCCCATGAAGGAGTGGGTCCTGGGCAAGATTTTGAGCCAGGAGTTAGAGGAAGTTGGTGTCAGATCCAACAGGCCCAGCAGGTGGGTGATGATATTGGGTTCTGGAGGTAAAAGACAGTGTTGGGTCCAGTAGAGGGTTGTGTCAGGTTTCAGGTAGAGGGGCTTCTGGTTCCAGTATTGGGGGTGTTGAGGGTACTGGGATTTTTGATCCTGAATGGAGTATGAGGTGTCAGGCCTCGTGGGGTGTTGTAAGGGCTCTAGGCAAGGTGTAACTTGAGGGGTGTATGGTAAGTTGGGCTCAGTTTAATAGCTACCTAGGAGTTAGACTAGGTTTTTCTAAGTAACTCTTTGCTTAACTGCAACTGAACTCTCCAAATTCACCAAGTTAAATTGATTGTTTCCAAGGCTTCCAGACATGGGGAATTATTCAGCGGAATCTTGAGTTTGCTCAGTAGTTCCCTTGAAGGCTTCAATGACAGGGATTCTTCAGTGTGCCCATTCATATTTCCCACTTACACTGCAGAACCGACTGTGTGATCACTGGTAAATCTACACCAATTATTCTGATGCTTCTTTGCAGCAGAACAATACTTTGCTGTCATACTGGTTGATCACATCTGCTGGAGTAGTTAGGAAAATCCAGAGGCATTTGTGGAAATGGTGCACTTTACTTCTGTGGAGAATTTTCCTG